ATTGGAAATCGTTATATGAAACACAGGTGAAATTAAATAAAGAAAATTGGAAAATAAAACAAATCACCTCGTGGAATGAAAGATATATCAATTATGATAGTGTCATTATAACATTAAATGAATTAAATTTAAGTATAATGAGAATAAGTAACTGGAAAGCACAAGGAATAGACACTATATATGGGTATTATTGGAAAAGGATGTCATCATCAAGAGAAATCATTCTTAACATATTTAACGAATGGTTGAACTTCCCTGAAAACATCCCATTAGACATGGTAAGTGGAAGAACTTTATTAATCCACAAAGTGATAGGAATGATGTCATTAATTATCGTCATATCAGTTGTACAAATGTAATTATGAAAGTATTTACCTCCATATTAAAAGAAAAGATTCACATTAGACTTAATATGAATTGTGAATCATTGAAAATCAGTAGCAACCAATTGGGATGTAAGTTACAATCTTTAGCTGATAAAGAATGAATAATTAATAGTTATATATTAAAGCAGCAGAAAGAAGAAAAATACCCAAAATATGATGAGTCATATTATGACATTAAGAAATCATATGACACAGTAAACCACGAATGGGTAATTGAATCATTAAAATATTTTAATTATGAGTTTGTCATCATTGGCATAATTGAAAGTATAATGACTAGATGGAAGATATTCATTGGCTATAAATTTAATGAATATCTAGGATGTATTAAATTAAATAGAGGAATTTTACAAGGTGATTCCTTATCCCCTCTACTCTTCATCATTCAGATGAATGTATTTTCTCAAATCATCGAAGAGAAATTCCCAAAAGCAAATCACACTTTATATATGGATGATTTGAGAATAATGACAGAAAGTAGTGAAGAAATGGGAATAATCCACTATGAAATTAAAGAAATAATAAGTTACATATTGAAATGAATGAGAAAAAATCAGGAATGGTATTAAAAAACATTAAAGAAATACCAAACGGAATGCAAAACATCCCCGTAGTTGAAGGTGAGGACTTGTATAAATACTTAGGAATATGGCAGTCCGACGAAATTGATGACACCTTCAATTGTAAATCCATCAAAGAAAAAATGAATCAGAAGATGGAAGAAATAAACACTGATGAAAGTAGTAATAGAAGATATATTACTAGAATAAACACGGAAGTAATCCCTATCTTCAGATATTCAGCATCAGTTGTAAATTGGAATGTCACTTAGATAAAATTGATTTGGAGATAAGAAAATATTTAAGAAAGGCAAAATACAATGGTTCAACTCCAAAGATAGGTTATATGTCCCTCTAGAAGAAATGGGTGAAGGATTAATAAATATAAGGGACGAATATGTTATCGAATTAGTAAGAACAGTGATGTACTACTGTACCAGAGAATGTGAAATAGGAAATAACATATTAGATAGATGGTACAATAAGAATGGATTGTGGAATAGAATTCAAAACACTAATTCATAAAATAAATGAAACAAAAATAGAAGAAATAATAAATGAAGGGATAGAAAAGAAAAAAGAAAAAGAAGTAGTAGTAGAAATAAAGAAATTATTGACAAATACATCAAAAAATGGAAGTGTCATCAAATTAGTGGATATTTTAGAAGATGGAATGAGTCAAAATGAGTAGATAAAACTACTACAGTTAAAACATGGAAGTCATTCAATATTAAGAAAAATACATTTCTCAAATTAAGAAAAATGCAAGATGAAGCAATATTTTGTGGGTATAGAAAAGCAAAAATAATGAAAAATGAAATATTAAAATACGCAACACTTTGTAAAGACAAGATAACTACAGTAAAATACATTCTACTATCTTGTATTTATCATAATAAATCACAAATAGAAAAACATGACAATATTGGCATTATAATATTGATTAATAAGAAAATACACTGGAAATAAACAATATAAAAACCCCCATATGAAACAATGTTCAAATATAAAGACATTACAATGATATGGAACAAACAAATAATACATAAAAGTGAATGACAATATCACAAAATATCAGATATATATGTATTAGATAAAAAGAATAAAACTGGTCTATTATTTGATATGACTAATGTGGCTGATCACAATATTAATGGAGCCTATTGGAAAAAAGAAATATGTATAAGGAATTAAAGAATAGGCTAATGAAAATCGAGAAAATAAAAGATGTCAAAATAATTCCAGTAGTAATCTCAATCAATGGATTAGTAAATAAAGAAAGTAATAAATTAATTAAAGAATTAAAAATTGAAATCGACATCGAGAAAGAAATTAAAAACCTTGTAATAAAAAACATGATGGATGTCATGGAATACTGCGGAGATCACAATCAAACATACTCCGTAGAGCTGCTAGGAGAAGAAGACGAAGGGATGTGATTAGTCTCCCATGATCCAGGAAGAATAGAATCTATTTCTATTAATACTTAATTAATTGATTTTATTTATTCTTTTTTATTTTTTTTAAAAACAAAAAAAAAAAAAAATCAATTAGTTTAAATATGCTTTTTTTGTTTTTCAGGTTGAAGAGTAGAAGGATTTTCTTCTAATAATTTTGTTATTTTATTATATGATTTTATTAAAGACTCTTCAACTATAACTGAAACTTTATGAAGTTCATTATTCATTTTCTTTAAATAACTTTTTAAATTACCAACTTCATTGGTTAATACTATCGTATGACAAATACCTTCATTTCCAGCTCTTCCAGTTCTTCCAGCTCTATGAACATATAATTGTGTTGAAACAGGACAATCAAAATTAATAACAGTTTTAAGTCCTTTAATATCAATACCACGAGACATTAAATCAGTTGTAATAAATACATTAATTGAATCATTTTCTACTCTTTTAATTACTTTTAATTTTTCTTTTTGTTTCATTGAAGAGATAATACATCCAATTTCTTTTTTATCTTTTCCAATAAATTCTGCCATTTCTTGAATTAATCTAAATAAGACAAAAGCAGTGTTATTACTATTACAAAATATAATACTTTTTCCTGATGTTTTAAGTAATTCTAAAACAACAAGATCTTTTTCTATAGGAAGAACTGGTGTATATCTATTTTCAATTGTTGATGGTAATACATATTTTGTTTGTGTTATTTCATTAATATCTCTAACAAATGAATCATCAAATGTTAATAATAATGGTTTATTCATTTGTAATTGTTTAAATGCTTTAGGAGATGATGATAATGTAGCACTAAATAATAATGATCTAAATTGATTTGTACTTGATGAAAATACATTTAAACTTTTTCCAGTTTTAATATCAACCATATATTGTGGAGAAATATATTGTTTTTTTATTATATTTAATAATGGAAATAATGCAGGAATTGTTAATAATTTATCAGTTTCATCATAAATTAAATATTGTAACCATTTTAAGTCTAGTGTTGATTTAGATAAATGATTTAATAGTCTAATTGGAGTAGTTACAATAACATGACTATTACATGATGTTTCTTTTTCGATACTAGATTCTCCTAAACATACTAAATTACAATTTATTGTTTTTAATAAAGGTTTCATAACATTTGAAACTTGAAGTGCTAATGGAAGAGTTGGAATTAATATGACTACTTGAATATGGTTGAATAATGGATTAATTAATTTTAATAATGGTAAGGTATATGCTAACGTTTTTCCACTCCCTGTTGGAGCACGAACAGCAATATCGGTATCTGTACTAAAAATAAATTGCTGAACAATTTTTTGCATTGGATAAAGTTCTTTTATCCCATTTACATCTAATATCTTTGTAATTTCATCGGTAAATTCATTATTAATTACTGTCACATGTTTTCCTAAAACTTCTTTTTCCCAATGAAATTCTTGTGTATCTTTTTCATTTATTTCAACTGGGTTATAAAATTGTTTTTTCTTTATTTCTCTTTCGTGTTTTTTGGGTTGGGCTTTGTGTTTTTCATGTACTTTTTGAAGTGAAAAATGATCACTTTTTTGTTGTTCATGATGAGAAGGATTTTGCATTATATTTTTATTGTTTTTTAAGAATTTTTAAATTTATAGTTTTTTTTATTATTTATTGAACTATCAGATGATTAAATTATATTGATATTAATTCACACAAAGTAAAATACATTTGATACAAGGAAGATTTAAAAACTATGTGTGGTTTGAATAAGTAATTGAAGTGATGTATAAAATAATTAATGAAGTAATTAAATGAATATTAATTGGAATAAATAATAAGAAATGTTTGATAGTTATGAAAAGAAATATTACAGTCAATGATAAAATGAATGAAATTACAGTTTTATATAGTTCTATTTCATACAAATACCTATGTATCTTCAAATATGAGAAGAATAATAAAGTGAAACTGAACAATAGAATAGAAAAAGATATGATGGATAAAATAGACAACAGCAATAAAATTAATGAAATGAGTTTAAATTACAACAATAAAAATAGTATTGAAGTAAATTTAGATAATCAGATATTTTGCATCTGTAATACATTGACAAACAACACATTAGATCAAATTGAACTACACATTATAAAAAAGATACAAGAAGTAAATATTAATTAAAAATAAAGAAAGAAGAGATGATGAAAATGAATAAGAATTGATTTTAGAAGATAATGTGTAAAGCATGTTATAAAAGAAGCAGTAAAATGAATGTAATGACATATATCAAATTATACAAAATAAGAATAACTTGACTACATTAATAAAATAATGAAAGATTAAATATAATGAAATATATTAATAAATCAAAAATGAAATAAATATGTGTTTTTTAATAAAATAAAGGTTAATTAATAAGGTATAACCACAATTGGATTTTCTTCATATTGAGAAGTGTTTATTTCAGTTTCTTCAATATGCTCTATTGTTATAATAGAGTTTATTTCTAACATGCTCTCATTAAATTGTTCTTCTTCTAATTTGCTGCCAGAATTATTAATAAATATTCAATGAATAAAAAAATTAGTGAAAAAAAATTCAAATTGACTAAATTGTTAATGCTTTGCAACACCTCCTTTTCTCATTGGCATATACTTCTTCTTTTCATCAAGTTCTCTTTGAATCCACCACATTGTTCCTTGTCCACTTCCTCCAGCAGCAGCTTTTTGTTCAGCAAGATAAGCTTCAGCCTCTTCCATTTTCTTTTGTGTACTTTCAACTGCTTGTTCAGCTTCTTTAGCAGCCTCGTCAGCTTTTTTTTGTGATTCTTGAGCAACAGTAGCATCGTTATCAGCCTTTTCTTTAGCCTCAGTAGCAATTTTAAGAGCTTTAGCAGCTTTTCTTTGAGCAGCTTCAAGAGTAGTTTTAGCTCTTCTTAAAGGTAAATCATCTTCACTATCAAGTTTAGCTAATTCTTGGATAGCAGCATTCTTAGCAACTAATCCAGCAGTTTCTATCTTCTTTTGAAGTGCTTTTCTTTTATCTTCTTTAGCTTGTTCTTGTGCCTTAACTTCATTTAAAGCTTTTGTAACTTCTTCTTCTGCAGCTTGTGCTTCTTTTTGTCTAGCAGCAGCAGCCTCAGCAGATTTCTTAGAAGCAGTAGCTTTTTCAGCAGCAGCTTCAGCAGATTTCTTAGACTCTTCAGCTTTTTTTTGACATTCTTCTAATTGTTTAGAAACTTCATCAAGTAATTTTTGGGCTTTATCTAACTCAGCAGTATTGTCACCTTGTGGAGCATTAGCAACTTTATGCCAATCCATCCCATAATAGTAAGTAAGAAAATGAAGCATTCCAACTTTTTTAAAGTTTTCTACTCCAGCTTGTTTTAATTGAGAACGCATTTCTTGAACAGTTTTTTGATTTCCAAGTTTTTCAAAAACACGGTGCATATTTAACTCATCAAGATCACATCCATTTTCGTGATTCTCAATCTCAAATTCTGAAAACATTTGAGCAAATTTCCATATTTCTTCAGCCACTGTATCTTTATGTGTTGGCCATAAAGCATTTAACATCCAAATGGCTTGTTCTTTAAAACACTTCTTATTAAGAGCTTTGAAGGTTTCTTGATCTCCCATAACTTACAATTTTGACTATATCTTAATAAGATTCACCTTTTTTAAGTTCTTTTCTCATAATAGTTTGACATCAAATTGAACTTTTTAATATTTTATAGATCTTACGAAGAAAAAAGAAAAGGAATCAATTATTCGAAACGAATAGACCAATGAGTCCATTGGGAACTGAAGTGGTTGTTAAAATCAGTAATAACCAATCTACCATTTTCTTGAGTAAATTTAAGTTCAGTTTCTTCACCATCTCTTATAATAAATGCTTTGGTAAACTTTTTCTCAGTAACTAAAACAAATTCATTAATAAACTCACCATACAAATAATCTCCTTGAACAGTGTAATCAAATGAATAGTTATTCATAGTCATAGTAACAGCAACATAATTATCAGAGTTATCAACACTAATACCATCATCAGTATAGAATTTACCTTCAGCACGTCCCATATTATCATAAATAACAACTCGAAGATAATCATTCTTTTCAGATTCTGTTCCAGATTTTCTTCCCTTAGTAACCATTCTCTCAGTAATGATATAACCTCCTCTTCCAAATAATGGGATAGAGTCCAAAGTAACTGGAATTACTAAATTCATTGGTCCATTATATACATTACTATTATTAAAGTAATCGTACCATTTACCTTTAGGAATTTGTACTTGATGATTTGTTTCTCCTTCTTGAATTACTGGTGATGCTAATAAAGCGTCACCAATCATGTATTGATTCTCATTATCAAATAAATCATCTGATTCTGGGAATGAATAATACATTGCTCTAATTACTGGTTTATAATCAACTCTATGATAATACCACAAAGAATACCAATACGGTAACATTTGATATCTTAAATTAACAGCATATTTTAGTCTATCACTAACACTTTGTTCAAATAGCCATGGCTCTCTTCTACTAGCTGTTTGACTAGAATGTTGTCTGAAGAATGGTTGTAATGCACCAGCTTGATACCAACGAATTAATAATTCAGTGGATGGGTTATGAGCAAATCCTCCAACATCTCCACCACATAAAAATCCAAGCATATTAATATTAACTAATTGACTAACTTGACTAGACAAATATTCCCAAGTAGCATCAGAATCTCCAGTCCACATAGCACCATACTTTTGTGAACCAATATAATATGATCTTGTTAAAACAAATGGTCTATACTTATTGTTTGTTCTCTCTAATAATCCTTTTTGGGTAGACATTTGTTGTAACATACCATAAAGGTTATGTACATTTTTATGAAGAATACCTCCCTTATGAACTGCTTCTTTCTTAACTAATAAATCTTGTACATCAAATTCAGTTGGTTCATTCATATCATTCCATGCATAAACTATTTCAGTTGTGTCTTTGTATTTATCAAATGAGTATAATCCAGCCCACCAATTTCTAGCTTCTTCTGATAAGAAATCTACCCAATTAGATTTTAAAGGCCAACACTCACCTGTATAATCATCAGTATTATTAATACCTTTCTTAATGAAATAATTTCCTTGTTTACCTTCATCATGAACATAATAACCATTGTCTGATGCGATATGACAATCTTGAATTGTAACAAGATATCTATTCTTTGATTTTAATTGTTCTTGTAATTTTAAAGGATGTGGGAAAGATGATCCCCAAGTGAAATATCGTTTACGTTGTGTGTGCTCAATATCAAGCCATAAAGCGTCATACATAAATTCATATTTATCAGCATCATTATCAACACCTTCAACAATATTTTGGGAATTATAACCCCATTTACTATTATGGAATCCAAGAGAAAATCTTGGTGGCATAAAAGAAACACCAGTTAATGAATAATAGCTCTTAAATAACTCTTGTGGACTTGATTTTGAAATAATAAAGAAAGAAAGATCACTATCTTCTGAAGTAATAAGTAATTTAGCCTTATTGTTATAGAGTTCATGGTCAATAAATGTATCTGTTGGATTTGTATATAATACTGCAGTTGATTTACCTCCTTTATGAGATATAAAGACAGGTAAATTACCATATTGTGGGTGAGTAGAATTAACAGGGAATGTAGTATATCCAGAAGCATAAAAATGATATGGCTCAGTAAAAGCTCCTTTAGACTTATCTGTTAAAGGAAGTGGTTGATGTACATTCTTACCAGATCCAAATAATCTTTTAGTTGGAAATTCTACATCAATTCCGACTGGATAATAATCACTTTTAGTATCTTCTCTATAAAGGAATTGTCCAGTACATCCAATGCACAAATCATTATCAATTATAACTGATGCATTTTTATAAACTGAAAATAAAGTTGTTCCAGCTTTGAAATTAGCTACTTGAGCACTAGAAGATATTAATGTAATTTCTTGTGGTTTAAGAGGTTTATAAGCAGTATTTGTTGGAATATTAAATCTAACGTGTTCAATAGATGGATAAGTATATCTAATATACAACTGATTATCACCTAATGAAATGATATTTAATTGAATGTTCTTATTTATACTCCAAGTTGGCTTTAGTTTGAATGATAAAATATTATTGGTATATCTATATGAACGTACATCTGCGTTATAATGAGAAACAGGTCTAAACCTATTTAAATTACACCATGACCTACTAGAACAAGTAGGAGGTTTATTAGGTATTGCAATGACAAAAGCAATAATAGAGAAGAAAAGGAACATAATAGAATTAGATAAATTCCAGATCAATAAATATTTATATATTTATAAATTTATTCTAATTATTTTATTAATAAAATAATTAGAATAATAAAAAGAATTTATTAATTTATTCATAAAATTTCATCTATAATTTATTATGAATTAATAATATATGACATTTAGCAATAATTTCATCAATAAAATAATAAATAAAATAATATGAATAACAAATAATTGATAATAAAAACAATGTTAATTTTTCATTCAATCTTAAGAAGATTTAACCCTCTAGAAATAGTATAATTACTTTGACTTTTTATTTCATTAAAGAAATATGAATTTATTTTTGTTCCAATTTCTTCAATATCATTCTTTTCTAAAATTATTTTTCCATTTCTCCAAATTTCTTTTACAGTCTCAATTCTTTGAGAACCTTGAGCTCCTTTTGTGATTCGAGAAACAAAGATATACCCTAATTCAAATAAAAGATCTATCAATAAATGAAGTCCTTCACTAATTTTATATGTTTCCATTCTTCTCATAGCAGTTTTTATTGAAACACCATTTTCAATATCTCTTTGGAATAAGTCATTACATCGATGTTCTACTACTAAATTAAATAAAATAGAATCTTCTCCATGAACCAAACGGTTAATTCTTAATAATTGAATAGCAACATTTGATCTTTTAATTGGAGGAAGTAATTCAATCTCAAAATAATCATTTAATAATGCAAGAAAAATACTTTGTTGAGCAACTTGGTAATTTCTTTTTTCTCTAAATTGGTACTTTCTTTTATACCCAGTTTCTTTTTTCCATTCTAAACTAATTTCTTTTCCTTTAGAATTCTTTATTTTATACTCTAAATTAATATAATTCTTATGTAGTGTCTCTTCACTTTGCATAGTTATTTAATCAAAATCAATAGTGATTAGTTCTATCTAGAAATTAATAGGGGTTTATTATTTTTATTTTTATCTATAGAAAAGAGCTTTAATACGATTCGAAGATGGCACGTCAGAGACACCACATGAAACCCTAAAATAATCCCATGCTTCGAATCTCCCAGTTATCGTCTGGTCATGACGTGCCTTTGGTGAGATAATATCTATTCAAAACTAACTGTTTATTATTATTAATATTTATTAGAAGTGATTATTATAAAAGATTATTATTCATTAACGTGTATTGTTATTCATTAACGTGTATTGTTATTCATTGAGGTGTATTGTTATTCATTGAGGTGTATTGTTATTCATTATTAATTATAAGGATTATTATTTACTAAGGAGGTATTATGTATTAAGAATTATCATTTATTAAAGAAGACGCATATATAATTGATATTGTTGCACAAAAATTAAACATAAGGATATTATCAAGGAATAGGGTTTCTTTAAGGGGTGTCGAAGGTAAAAGGAGATGAGCTATAACAGTATGTTATGGATATACTCTCCTTAAAACAACAATATAAAGAATGAGAAATATTATATTACTCATTAAAATCAAAATAAAAGTCAGGCAGCAACTTAATTGAGGAACCATTTAAGTCGAGCATGCCTGAAAAACTTTATTTCAATAGAAATAAAGCGTGTTGAAGAAACTGATTCGCTCACTTCTCAACATGATGAAAAACCTAAGGATAAGGTTAATCATAATTGATTTCTTTTTTTTTTTTTTTTTTTTTTCTATAGAAAAGAGCTTTAATTATATAACGAACATTTTTTTCATGCAAAACTGCGGTTTGATCTAATTTTAACTTAGTGTTTCAATTATACTCTTAGTGTATAAATGAATAAAGACTAGAAATAGGGTTGTTGTTTTTTTCCGTCTTGGATTGTAAGTTAATTGTTTTTTTAATTAAGTCATGTTGGATTGAATATTTTGTGTCATTATGAATATTCTTTCAAGAAAAAGAATGTCTGAATATTTTTAGTGTTCTTCCAATAAATTGTCTTTTATTTCATATTATATCTTAATTAAGATATATCATTTGATGTACAAAAACTAAATTCATTTATTTGACTTTCATATGATAAAATAATGTAACCAATAATCTTCAAATTTTTTTTTGACTTAAAAAAATCTAAAGAAAATCTGACTATATCAATAAAAAAAAAAGATTGAAAAGACTTTGAATCATCACAAAATGGTATTATCTATTCAAAAGTATTTGCCAAATGCTAAATACACAAAATCAGAATAATAAAAAAAAGAGTGGATTAATGAAAATGAGTTTCTAGTTCAATAAATAATTGTTCAGTCTCTTTTAAATCATTTAGTAAAAGGTCATTAATTTTCTAGTATGTTATTTAAAGTTTTTATATTAAGTGTGATAAAAAACAAACTTTTGTCATTGAAATATTT